ATGGTAGGTAAGAAATGTTCTCTGCTCACTTAAGGGGGGGGGCAGTGTCAATAAATATGGTACATTGGAGATTTGGGGGAAGCTTCCCAACTGTGCAGAAACTGGTCATGTAATTCTGGATTCAGGTGTGTGGTGGAAAACAGTGCAAATGGGCATCACTATCTTTACCACCTTGGTGCCCATCACTGAATATGTGTGGTGTTATCTTCAAAGAAAAGTGACGTCGCATATACAGTAAAGGAATTTCCATTTCAACAGACAGAACTTTAACATTGCTATGAACTGGCATATCTTTGCCTCTACTGGATGAGATCGGAATGCTCAGCTTTGTGCCATGAGTCATATATTGGTAACAGCTAAAGGAGATTTTCCTTTAGTTTAACTAGCTGGATATTATGCTTGGAGCAAAAATATCTGAATCATATCCCAAATATCACCATGGAATTCTTAGTAGTAGTTGTGATAACTATGAAGTCCAAGGTTGTTGGAACTGAAAGTTTTATTCTTTTTATATTTGTATTTTAGGTTTAGTAATGTAGTAATGTAAGGTAATATATATAATTATATTTAATATTGTAGTAAGTTAAATTCTTTAGTTAAGTATCTATCTCCTATATTTCCTTGTTCTAAAGTTTAGTAAGCTTAGTAAGTAAGGAGACAGGCTCTCATACTGTGTCTAGGTTAGTGAGATTAGAAAACTGAAGGCCCGGGCCTTCGATGTGAATTGTTTTGATTTTGCTTAAAATAAAACACTGCTGTTTACCTTTGAAGGATTCTGTGAAAAAGACTGTACGAATGAGATATGGTGTGAAGGTCACCATTAGAGCCAGATGGTCAAGAGAGAAGGTGGGGAGAATGTGGGGTGAAGACAAACTGTAAAAGACAGACTGAGAAGAAACATATCGGAGTCAGAAAAACCATCAGTGCATACCCACGGTCAAGAATTGATCAGATTGGCAGAATTGATGGCTCTAAAGGTGAAGGGTGGGCACCCCTGAAAACAACTAATTAAATCCAGGACAGGATGAGCCTTTCAAGATGTTTTGGGAATGAATGTCAACATCAAAAGATAACAGTAACCGGTCACAGACTGACACAGTGAAATCCATAGAGGAGAAGATTATAAAAGCAAGGTGCCTTGCTATGGGACTTTGGGTTCGTCTTGCCACAAACTCCAGAGAAGCATTGGACTGATCGACTGACAAAGGCCCTACACCTCCCCTGTGTTCAATCTAGCTGACCACTAGATTGATACAGAATCTGGACTGGTAACTATAACATCATCTGGTGGGACTGTGTGTGTGTATGGTGTTTGTGTGTGAATGATTAAAGTCTCATGGGGGACATTAATCACCCTGACATCTGTTGGGAGACCAATACAGGAGTACACAGGCAATCCTGGAAGTTTTTGGAGAAGGTTGGGGATAACTTCTTGGTTCAAGTGCTGAAGGATATGACCAGGGGCCATGCACAGCTTGACCTTCTGCTCACAAACAGGGAGGAACTAATAGGGGAAGTAGAGGTGGGTGACAACCTCGGAAGCAGTGATTATGAGATGGTAGATTTAAGGATCCTGACCAAAGGAAGAAAAGAGAGTAGTAAAATACACACCTTGGACTCTAGAAAAGCAGATTTTGACTCCCACAGACACCTGATGGGTAGAATCCCCTGGGATGCTAACATGAAGGGGAAAGGAGTCCAGGACAGCTGGCAGTATTTTAAAGAAGCCTTATTGAAGGCACAGAAAGAAACCATCCCGATGAGTAGCAAGAGAGGCAACATGGTAGGAGACCGGATTGGCTTACAGGGGAAATCCTTGGTGAACTTAAGCACAAAAAGGAAGCTTACAAAAAGTGGAAACTTGGACAAATGACCAGGGAGGGGTTTAAATGTATAGCTCGAGAATTCCAGGGGGTTATCAGGAAGGCGAAAGCGCAAGCGGAATTGTGACAGGCAAAGGATGTGAAGGATAACAAGAAATGTTTCTACAGTCATGTTAAGAAGAAGGTGATCAGAGAGAGTGTGGGGCCCCTACTGGATGAAGGAGGTAACCTAGTGACAGATGATGTGGGGAAAGCTGAAGCGCTCAATGCTTTCTTTGCCTCTGTATTAATGGATAAGGTCGGCTCCCGGGCTAATGCGCTAAGTGACACAAGATGGGACGAAGGTGGACAGCCCTTGGTGGGTAAAGAACAGGTTAGGAACTATTTAGAAAAGCTAAACGTACACAAATCCATGGGTCTGGACTTAATGCATCTGAGGGTACTGAGGGAGTTGGCAAATGTCATTGAGGAGCCTTTGGCCATTATCTTTGAAAAGTCATAGAAATCGGGAGAGATCCCGGATGACTGAAAAAAGACAAATGTAGTGACCATCTTCAAAAAAGGGAAGAAGGACGATCTAGGGAACTATAGGCTGGTAAGTCTTACCTTGGTTCCTGGAAAAATCAATGGAGGGATCCTTAAGGAATCCATTTTGAGGCACTTGGAAGAGAGGAAAGTGATCAGCAGGGCTCAACAAAGTATTGAATCTACTCGCCCGTGGCCCACGAAAGCTCATCACCTAATAAACCATCTTATTAGTCTTTAAAGTGCTACATAGTCCTGTTTTTTTGTTTTTCTGAAATATATAGTAGATACCTCTTCATTTCTCCACTCCTGCCACCTGCTGGTCCAATATGGTTTTAGCTGTCCTAGTCCTTAACTCTGGTCCCTTGTTGCCACCCTGTGGTCATTCTATCATATAACTACCTCCTAACAGACCTCTCTCTTTCCATTTTATGAGAAACTATCAAATTCTGTGCACATCTCATTATCCTGGCACAACCAACCACTGACCTTGCTTTAAGTTATGATAAGAGGAAGCTGAATACCAAAATTGGTGGTCCTAGCACTTACTGCATACCTGGGAAAAATACAGCCTTCTGGCCAGATCCAACCCACCAAACCACACACACAGGCTATGTCTACACTACAGAGTTTTTCCAGGATACCAGCGGTATCCCGGAAAGACTCTGCCATGTCCAGGGAACACATCTGCTCTTCAAAAAAAATTTTCAGAAGAGCAGATGTACTTTTCCACCATCCCTGTAAACGTCATTTTATGAGGAAGAAGGGATGTTCCAAAAAAGGATTTTTTTCTGACATTTGGCCCAATGTAGAGGGACCAAATGTCAGAAAAGCCCCTTCCAATAAAAGAAGCGGAAAAATCTATGCAAATTGCGGTTCACAATTTGAGTAGCTTTTCCTGGAAGAACAGTGTAGTGTAGATATAGCCTCAGTGAAGTGAACAATGGCACTAAAGATAGTGATGCCTATTTGCACTGTTTTCCAGCCCATTCCTGAGTCCAAAATTACATGACCTGCTTCTGCATAGGTGGGAAACTTCCCCCAAAGGCTCCAATACATCCATTTGAAATAAAAAACATCAACTTTATTTACAATGTAGGTTTGAATGCACTAAGTGTATAATCCATCAGTTCAATTTTATAGGGCACTGCATTTAGTAAAACACATGCCTCTTTTCTTTAAAGAAGACAGGCATATCAAATCAAATTTACACACTGAAGCAGCGAACATATTCTATGCCAGATTCTGTATCAGCTTTGCATGCTTTCTATTCCCCCAAATAATGCATTTAAAAAAGAAGTGATATGTACAGAATTCTGTTCCTGTGTGGGGAGCTGCTAACCACAAGACAAAGGAAACTACAAAGCAGGCCATCTAGCTGCTCTCTACAAGTGTCCATCACCATAAAATATTCAGCACTTATTCATTGCCTTTTCATACTCAAAAGCATTTTATGAAATATTATTTAGTTAGTGCTTAGGATAGCTGAATGGAAGTGTGTGTGAAAGTAACTTAACCATCACGTGGATTGATTTTGCTATGTGCCACCTGGGTTGTATCACACGCAATCCTCTTGATCCCAAACAAAGCCTAGTGATGACTTGTTAGAGCTCACTTGCAAGCTGGCCCACAATTCTGCTCAGGAAGAGGGAAGCTCTCTTTTGGTTGGGTTTGGTCGCCCACCACTGCAGAGTATGGGAAATAGGTAGTTCTCTTCCACAGTGTTTAAATATCAACTCATCGTTTATGCAAATAAGTGCTGAACTGGCAGCAACACAAAAGCCTTTGCTGCACAATTCAATAGTTCATGCTTGATTGCTCAGTTCAACAGCTCTGATTGCTTGATTGCTATGCTTTCCCTTGTGGTGCATTGAAAACTGTTAAAATTAAAAGTTAACATTCTGAAAGTAAAAGGTTTGCTGCTACTGCTTGGAAACTATTTCCAGTGGATATACAAGTGATACTTGTGCAAATCAATGCCTGACACACAACAGCACCTAGGAAATGATCTCATTATTTTGCCAGGATCATGAGAATTATTCCAATAAGGTTAAATGAAATGGATGCGGCTGACCCAGACAAAGAAATGTTCCCTACTAAATAACTTTTGAAACCGAAACTACTAACTCTATTGAGGAGCATGCACTATGTCTTGCTACTAGGTTTAGAAGGGAATGGAATCTACACCTGCACATTTTTTCCAAGATGACTCATGCTCTACTTTAAAATTATCCTCCTACAGATACCACCTAGACTCAGAGTTAAATTATCATTGCAAGTGAAAATTCCATTTCAAGGAGCAAAGTCAAACATCAACAATATTATATGATCAGCCACTTGAACTGCAAGTTACCTTTTCTCAAAAGTATAATATTCAATGCCCCCATTTTTGCAGGGAAAAATATGTTCATGTGGAAAATTCATTATATTCTAATCTCATAAAAAGAATCTATAAAATTTTCTTGGACTCGGAATCACACAACATGATATGTGATCTACAGAGTTTTAAGACCTTTTCCCAATAGGTCATGAGAGATTTTGGGGGGGTTTTCATCAAGCAATAATATAAAATAAATAATTTTCAATCCCCAAATCATTGAAGGAAATGGAGTGCACTTCCCAGCAGGCTTTTCAACTCTTTTCTGGACGCACCTTATTTTCAGTATTAATGGTAAAGACGGTGTCTTTTTGGTCCAGAAGTTTACAAGAAAATGCAATGTTAACTGCAGTTTCCTGCTTGTCTCCAGTCAGTACCCAGATTTGTATCCCGGCCTCTCGGAGTGCTGCAATAGTATCTGGCACTCCATCTTGCAGCCGATCTTCAATCCCTGTTGCTCCTAGTAAAAGGGGAAAATGAGAAGTGAGCAAATTTATTTCCCTTTAAAAGCTGTGGTGAGATTTAAAAACAAATATTTGAAATCTTTGATCACAAACATCAACAGTTAATCCAATGCTACTGCCCAGTGATTGATATAGACTTCAAAAGGCATAAAATTAAGCCTGAATTGTGGGGGGAAATCTTTATGTAGTTTCCCTATATTTTTGCATTATTTCAAGCCTCACATAAGTCTTGTGGGGAATATATGGATGAATACTAATCAGTTCTATGTGATTAACACGCACACAAATCTGCATTTAGATTGAGTTTTTTTAAACAGCAATCAGTGACTAGTGGCCATTCATTTTACTTGGCACTGTAGTGTCTCATTTCATTTCTATTTAATGCTCCAAAATGACAAGAAATACACCACTTGCATTTTCTTTAAAGTACAGAATCAGTTCCCATCAGAGGAATGAGAAAAGATGCAATTCTACAGTGAATCTTGGCTGTTTAATTGAAAGATACTTAACGGGAGGTGAATCATCATATGAAAGAGTTACAAATAGAATTCTCTTATTTCTTCCACTAGAAGTTAGTTTAAAGTTGCTTGTAAAGTGATACTTAAGGCAGGTCTACAGTATGGGGGAAAGTCTACTTAAGGTACATAAATAACGTAGCTGGAGTTGATGTACCTTAAGCTGACTAGAGTGCTGTCCTCACTGCAGAGGTCAACAGGAGAAATGCTCCCTCTGACTTCCCTTACCCTTTGTGACAGCAAGGAGTACCAGCATGACGGGGGCACCCTCAGCGTTTGATTTGACATGTCCCCACTAGACTCACTAAATCAAATGCCAGAAGATCGACTGTCACAGCATCAATCTTCCCAGTAGTGTAGACATGCCCTTACTGTACATTAAAGATCAGTTATTACTTAAAGCAACAAAGGATATTTCTTTGAGGAATATTAAGTAGGAGTTCATATAGAGGCTTTGTAGCTGGCAAAGGTGAAGATTCTTACAGCTACACAAGCTCACTTATAACTCTATGTAAGTCCACATGCAAACAAACCATAGGTATCAAAATAAAATCACTTTACTTTGCATCAGTGTTAGCACTCTGGATCCAACTTGTACATCTACTATAGATATATAAGTTTGCCTTGTCTGTCTGTCCAAGAACTCCTCCTAAATCAGGGGTGGACAATAATTTTTGATGAGGGGGCCACTCCAAGAACTTGAAAAGTGGTCAAGGGCCAGACTCTTCCATATTAACGGAGGAGGTGCAGGGTTTGGGATGGAAGTTGGGTGCAGAAGGGAGCTTGCAGTAAGGGATTGTGGTGCAGGAGAGGGAATTTGGTTGAAGGAGGCAGTTGTGACCTGGGTTAGGGGACTAGGGTGCAGGAGTTTGGGTTGTGACCTTGGGCAATAGGGATTGTGACCTGGGGAAGGGGACTAGGGTGCAGGAGGGGGTGCAGGAATTTGGATTGTGATCTGGGGAAGAGGAATGGGGTACAGGAGGGTGGGCAGAAGGTTTGGGTAATGTAGAGTAGGGGGTGCAAAAGATTGAGGTACCAGAGACAGGCTCTGGATGGGATTCCCAGCCAGCAGCCTTCTCAAGCAGACTACCTGCCTGCTCTCACCCCATACTGGCTGTAGGGGCCATGAGGTTTTTGAATAGCTATGGGTATGTCTAAACTACACAGTTAATTCGAACTAATGGAGTGCTTAGTTCGAATTAGGTAAACCTCATTCCACGAGGACTAAGCCTAGTTCGAACTTACTAGTTCGAATTAAGGGGTGTGTAGCCACTCTGGCCAACACCAGGGAAACTCGTATGCCCCCCTCCCAGCCCCGGACCCCTTAAAGGGGCACGTGCTGGCTACGGTGCCCGTGCCAGGTGCAAGCCTGCCAGCACCCAGCCAGCAGACCCTGCACCTGGCACGGCTCCCGGCCGCCCCCCGCCGCACCCCCG